GAGGAGTCTGTCCATCAGTGATCTCAGAGTGATGGCCGCCTAGCTGGGCTAAGTGCCGTGCATACATTATCTGTATCACTTAATCCTTACTGCAGCCTGGCAGGCAAGGTCTGTAGCATCCCCTTTAGAGATGAGGTCACAGCCAGGAGGTGTTCAACAACTCCCCAAGGTCATACAGGTAACAAAGGACAGAGGCACTTCCTGAAACCTGCAAGTTATCTGCTTCTGGAGACAAAGCCATGAGCAGCTGCACAGGCTGCCTACAGTTGAAAACTGTTTCTGTTGATGACAAAGGTGGGAGGGATGAAGTTCCTGCTATGAATACATTGGCTCTGTGGCCTCTACACTTCCCCCCTGCCCCGTATGCTGGTTTCTAGAGGATTTGATTCTTGAATTGGAGAGTGGATGGGTCCCAGTTACCAGCTGCCAACTGGGGAGGGCAGGGTGACCATTTCCCTGCGTGTAGCCTTTGATATCCATGCCAGGGCATGCCGCACACAGTAAGAATGACTATTTCACCCCCTCGTGTGGTAGCAGATTGCCACAGAAGAAACGGAAAGGACAGAGAGGTTAAATGACCCGCCCAGGGTCCCTCAAGCTGATGGGTAGTTGAATCAGGACCCGAGTCAAGTCTCCATGTCCCAGTATTGCGTGATGTCCATCCGTGTTAGAGGGAGCCCTTAACCCTGCAGCAGGGTCTCCGTGCTAAGTCCCGGCTCATGTGGTCCCTGAACAGATCATGCCCCTGCTGAGCCTTATTTGGAAAACAGGGACATCTGTGGCTGTGGCGCCTGCCCCATGGGCTCAGGGTGTGTCCGGAAGACTTGGGTAGGTACAGAGGGCAATGGGTCATGAGCAGCTCGTGGCTCTGCTGGTTACTCTGTCTCTGCTGACAGAACTCAGGCCATGATGGCATTCGCTCCCCTCCACAGCCCTCCAGCGTATGCATGGGGTCACAGAGCAAGGTGCTGCAGCTGAACCAGTAGCAGCCGTTTCCTACCGAGGACAAAGTCATTTATAACCCACATCCTCCTCCCCACTGGAGCCCTGACGATATATCCTTATAGCAGAAAGGCAGCCTTACTTGTTTCTAATTCTCAAAGAGTGCCTAGGATTGGATAAATCACCAGCTCACAAATCATTGGTTTGGAGAATCAAAAATGGACTCAAATTTTCATGGCAGAAATGTCTGTTTGATCTGCCCTTATATCCCAGACAGTTCCATTTCTCCTGGAAACAAGATCCTGGACGCAAGAATGCCAAGTTATTCCCTCTATAATTCTCCATCTCTGAGCCGAGCCTTGAAGCAGACTCCTGCCCTTGAACTGACAGCAGCAATTCTATTAAAGAAGTTTGATTACAGGGGGGAAAAGTGAAAGAATCTATATTTCATTAAATGCTGCTTGTTTTAAAGTGGGAACATTTTCTGAATGTCTGGGGGAGCTAATAATGTTTTCTAGGTCTTATTGGGAGACTTATCTTAAAAAGCAGAATTTTTAAAATCTGTTTTAAAGGAAAAGCCATCACTTTTAGAGCCAAATTATATTCACAGAGAAGGGACTTTTATCCTGGAAGTTTATAATAAGCATTTGGTGCTTCCTAGGTAGCTCAGTGGGTAAAGAATCCGCCTGCAATGCAGGAGACATGGGTTCAATCCCTGGGTTGGGAAGGTCCCCTGGAGAAGGAAATGGCAACCCACTCTAGTATTCTTGCCTGGAGAATTCCATGGACAGAGGAACCTGGTGGGCTACAGTACATGGGGTCACAAAGAGTCGGACATGACTGAGCAACTGAGCATGCCCTTTTAAGCGTTTATTGAGTGCCCACTCTGAACCAGAAGAGGTGTCATTCTAGGTATTTAAGAGTTTTGCAACAGTAATGAAAGCATTCTAACAGGATGAGATGATGTACATTATCGTTTTTGTTAATATGTGAGTCGCTCAGTTGTGTCTGACTCTTTGCGACTCCATGGATTACACAGTCCATGAAATTCTCGGGGCCAGAATACTGAAATGGGTAGCCTATCCCTTCTCCAGCAGATCTTCCCAACCCAGGAATTGAACCAGGGTCTCCTGCATTACAGGCGAATTCTTTACCAACTGAACTTTGAGGGAAGCCCTTTTTGTTAATATAGGGTTGGCCAAAAAGTTCATTTGGGTTTTTCCAGAAACCCAAACATACCAGAAACACGGTATAGACACACCTGAATGAACTTTTTGGCCAACCAAATATTACAGCATTGTTTTTTCAGTTGACTGTTAAGGTCTATTGACAACCTACTGTGTGCCAGGACAGTGTGGATCAGTGCCCTCCAGAAGCTTCCAGGATAGCTGAATCGATGAGGACCAGTGATGAGGATATGGGGATGTGGCAGTGTCTGAAGGAGAACCTGCAGAAATGACATTGACAGCATACTCACCTGTTGGTCACCCACTGGGGGCAGTTGTTTTTCAGTCACTAAGTCATGTCCAACTCTTTGTGATCCCACAGACTGAAGCATGCCAAGCTTCCCTGTCCTTCACTATCTCCCGGAGTTTGCTCAAACTCACGTCCATTGAATTGATGATGCCATCCAACCATCTCGTTCACTGTTGTCCCCTTCTCCTCCTGCCTTCAATCTTTCCCAGCATCAGGGTTTTTTCCAATGAGTCAACTCTTTGCATCAGGTGGCCAAAGTATTTAGCTTCCACATCAGTCCCCCCAGTGAATATTCAGGGTTGATTTCCTTTAGGATTGACTGGATGGTGAAAAACAGTCATTCCTCCATTACAGGTGAACATTTTGAGGCCAAGAAGCAGATGAGCTGTTCAGACTACTTGGGCATGTCAAGGACAGGACCTGCATCCTGAGTGTTTGATTCCCAAAGCAGAAGGTTCTCCACCTCTCGGGGCTCCCCCCACAGTCCAGAATGCTGCGAGCCCAGAACGCATGGTGGTACCCACCCCACAGGGGCATTCTTGGGGTCAAAGAAAGGTGCATGACATGGTGCTCAGTGACCTGAGATGCTGCCTATACTAGTGGAAGCTTACCTGGCATTGGGGTGGAGACAAGGGTGCTCCTAGCCCCCCCTCCTCCCTTGTTCCAGCTTGGCTTCAGCTCCCCTTCCAAGGCTGACCTGGAGCCTCGCCTTCCATGGACCGTTTTCCCTGCTCTGTGAGGTTCTGCTGAACGAGTGCTCAGCACAGGGCAGAGCTTCCTGGTGCCCACAGTGCCACCCCCCTCCCTGACAATGTCACTTGACCTCCCTGGGATCTCTGCTTCCCCACCTGGAGTGACAGATGCATTGTGGGTGGGAGGAGAAGGCGGGAGAAGGGACTGACGGGTCCAGACCAGAAGGTCTTTGCAAGATGCTGCCTGTCCCTGAGTTCTGAAGCGACTCCAGCCTCTTCTCTTCATGGAGCTGCTTCTCAGCTCTGACTTGACAGTGGTGAGAGAAGAGGATTCTAGAATCCTGGGGTGAGGGTGCTGGTTGGAAGCTCACCATGAGCTTGAAACACTTTACGGCATGACATTAAAGTTAAGCTCACCATTTTACCGATGAAGAAACCGAGGCACAAGGAAGTTAAGGAATGTGTCCCTGTTGATCCAGCCTGTAAATATTAGAACTAAGAACTGAAATTGGCCATGTGAACTCAGAGCCCGCTCACAGCAAGACAACTGACTCCAGCCTCAGCAAGACTGTTGGTGGGGAATGTGTCTGTAACAGATCTGAGTGTGCACTGAAGCCAGTTGGAAAGCTCTCTGCTAAGAATGTGATCAGAATCCTTTGACAGAATGAGGAACTATCCCCTGATTTTCCTTTTTGGCACCTTTCGATTTTTTTATGTTTTTTTGGTAACAACTCTGTGCCAAGTCGCTTCAGTCGTGTCCAACTCTTTGCGACCCCATGGACTGTAACCTGCCAGGCTCCTCTGTCCATGGGATTCTCCAGGTGAGATTATTGAAATAGGTTGTAATTTCCTTCAGGGGATCTTTCTGACCCAGGGATTGAACCCGTGTTTCTCCTGTCTCTTGCGTTGGCAGGCGGGTTCTTTACCACTAATGCCACCTGGGGTCACAACTTTATTGAGATATAATTCACATACTGTATAGGTCATCTGTTTAAAACATAGAATTCAGTGACTCTTCCTATTTAGAATTGTGCAAGCATTGCTGCAAACAATTTTAGAAGATTTTCATCACCCCAGAAACACTGTACCTCTTAGTTGTCATCCCTCAAACACCATACCCTCCAGCCTTAGGCAACCATTAATCTATCTCCATCTTTATAGACTGGCCTCTTCTGGAATTTTTTTATTTAATGGAATCATACAATAAGTAGTCTTGTGATTGACTTCTTACAATTCTTTCACTTAGCAAAATGTTTTCAAGCATCCTCCATGTTGTAAGATGTATCAGTACTTCTTTTTATTACCAAATAATATTCCACTTGTATGGATGTATCACGCTTTATCCTCTCATCAGTTGGTAGATGTCTGGGTTGTTTCTGAATTTTGGTTATTATGAATAATACCACTATGGACATACATGTACAGGTTTTGTGTGAATATATGTTTCTGTTTCTCCTGGGAAGATATTTGGGAGTAAAATTGCAGGGTCAAACTCTCTGTTTAATCTTTTGGGGAACTGCTAGACTATTTTCCAAAGTGACTGCACCATTTTGCATTCCTACTCCTAATGTATGAGGGTTCCAGCATCCTTGCCAACATTTGTTTTTATCTGTCTTTTTGTTTATAGCCATCCTAGTGGTTGTGATGTGTTTCATGCTCTCTTTTTTTAATTGCAAGGGATATACAAACCATGGTCAACTCTAAGGTACTAGAATATCTGGATAATCCATATCCAGCAATGTTTTCCTAAGAGCTCAGATCTGCCACAGACAGAGGAGAACTAGCCAGCCTCTCCCCAGGTCCAACACCAGGGGCCTCCACAGTTCCATGGCCAAACCCTCGGGACACTCCTTGAGAACTGACACCTTGCCCTGTCCTCTTGTCTTCTAGCGATTCACGAGTTCCCCACAGACCTGTTCTCCAACCACGAGCGACAGCACGGGGCCGTTCTGCTGCATATTCTCGGGGTAAGTGGCCCTCTTGGGGTGGGACTTTCCTCGCCTTGCGGCAGGGGAAGCCTGTCTGCATAGCACAATGTGTCAGAGACTCACCGTGTTCTTCTAAGAGCCCTCTGAGAACGGGTCCTGGACGTGTTTTAACCGCAAAGAAATGAAGTCTTAAGGATGTGAAGTGACTAGCTCAGTGTCACGCAGCGAGTGACCCCAGAGCCAGGACAAAGATTCACGTCTTCTTGTGCCTCCTTTTCTGCTTTTTATAATACCAGAGTGACAGCATTTCTTCCCCAGATGTGTAAATACAGGCGAACATGGGTCACATCCTTCAGACATAGCAGGGAATGGGATAATGCTCTCCAGGACCCCCCCACATTTTACCGTCCTGACATAACTGCGATTTGAGACTTTGGTGCCCTTCTTCTCAAACTTCCTTGGTATTAACTGAGCCTGGTGAGCAGCGGCAGAGTTTGAGTAGCAGTTCAAAAAGGCATAGAGGGCTCAAACCTATATGATAGGTAATAGTTGCTCTTCTCTGCATGCAAACTACAGCCCACAGCCGTTGCCCATACTTATCAATAAAGTTTTATTGGAACACAGCCATTCTCATTCATTTCTGTATCATCTGTGGCTGCTTTTCTGCTTCACTGGCCGACCTGAGTAGTTGTGACAAAGACTCCGGGATCCACAAAGCCAAAAAAGATTTTCTGTCTGTCTCTTTGTAGAAAAAGTTTGCCAGCCTCGTTTTCTGATGCAGGGAGATGAAAGCGCTCAGGGTTTAATTTTCTACTTTGGATCAACCACAGCAAATGTTCCTCCTGATGTGGTTCCCTGACCACTCAGCACCATCTGCTTCTATATTTAACCCAACCAAGTATTCATCTTTGCAAGAGATAATTAAGCAAGGGAAAGCTGGGATTCTCACATAGATAGTAGCCACCTGAGAATAAGGGGTGAGTGAAGTTTTAATTAAAAGAATAAACCATTAATGAAAATGAAGATTGTAGGCAAATTTCAAGTGACAGCCTTGTGTATTATTTCTCAAATGGAGTTAGTATCTTTCTAGTTTCTCTGGCTTTCCCCTGCCCTCCCCGTTCACTGTTGGGATGTGGGTTTGACCGGTTAGTCCCACTGTCTGTCCCTCTGCCTCACCAGTGTCTTGTCAAAGCCTTTTTTCCTGAACTCGAGAGGTCCTCAGGAATTTTGCAGGAACCCTTTTAGAGCAAGCACTACCCAACTACATCTGGAGAACAAAATCCAGCCCACTTCCTGTTTTTATAAATAAAGTTTTATTGGTAGGCAACCACCCTCATGTCCATGGCTGCTCTTCTTCTATAGCAGCAGAGTTATGACAGGCTGTATGGTCCGTAAAGACTCATCAGGCACTTTTAAGAAAAAGTTTGCCAAGCCCTTCTTTAGAGCAGGAAAAAACTTGAGCTTTGGAGCCAGGTTTTGTCTGTAGCACTAAGAAGCTTCTCAGAACTTCCTGCCCAAGTGAAGGAAATAGTGGTGCCATCGTGGCCCCCTTTTCTCTCCAGTGTTTCTGAGATGTCAGGGGAGCCAGAGGCTCTTTGCCTGGGAAATGCTGTAGTGGGGAATTTCTGAGGGTATGAATTTAAGTTGGGATCCTGAGATCTGTAGCAGTGGCTCCTGTCTCTCTCTCTCCTTCCTGCACCCCCAGTATTTGTTTCTTTTTGCTTCCCCCCAAAAGATAATCAAATTCAGGGATAGCCACACCTGGACTCCAGTACACATTTGCCTTGGATGCTGTGGTCACAATTGATAGATCTTCCACTTTATCTGTGGGCTTCCCTAATAGCTCAGTTGGTAAAGAATTTGCCTGCCAATGCAGGAGACACAAGAGACATGGGTTTGATCCTTGGGTCAGGAAGATCCCCTGGAGTAGGGAATGGCAACCTACTCTAGTATTCTTGCCTGGAAAATTTCATGGAGAGAGGAGCCTGGAGGGCTACAGTCCATGGGGTCACAAAGAGTCGAACACAACTGACCGACTGAGCATGCATGCATGCAATTAATTGTAAAGTTGTTGGGATATCACACCATCTAAGCTGAAGCAGCCCAGCCTTTCCCTTTTTTGTGAATAGGGCATTCATGTCACTTTTTCTTTGAATTAAAAAATGGCTTCCACCAGTGTTCAACATAAAATCCCCTCTCCTTTCCACAGATTCTGGTCCTTGCCTCTCTCTCCAACTTCACATTAGTCATTTTCCACTTTACTTTCTATATGTTCTGCCTGCACCAATGTCCTTGCTGTTTCTCAAATGCATCAAACACATTCCTGCCTCAGGATGTTTGCATGTGCTCTTTCCCAGCCAATATAGATACTTTATTTGCCTATTTGTCCCCCACAAAGAGGCAGAGGCTTTTCCTGGCATCCTTGTCACCTATCCCTAATGGCTAGAATAGTACCTGTCATATAAGATGAGCTCAGTAAAGTCATGTTGAGTGGACAGGTCAGAGAGGAGTTCTGTAGATAACACCATCTAAAAACTACTGATTTGTCTTGCTCTGTCATCAAACAGAAGAAACTGCAACCTGGAGACATGATTTATCCTCAATCACAAGGCAGAAAATTCCCAGGATCAGCCCTATAATCTGGACTCTGTTCCATGAGCCTCCCAATGTTCAGTGGCTCAGGTATTTTAACCTGGACCAACATCAAGCAGCATCCTGAGAAATGCTGGGTCTCAAGTTTGTTTTGGCAGGAGGTGGGCAGTTGGTGACAGGAAATGATGCCTTCGCTAAAACTCAAAGAGGGGAAATCAGGATGATGATTAATTTAAATTCTTAAGATAGTGGTTTTAAATACATTCCTTCTTGGCCCTCGAGGTTTGGATCTTGCCTGTTGAGGGCCTACTTGTGTGTTGGAGAAAGAGGGTTGCTTGTTTAAGAAGAGAGGAAGGGACACAGGACCCTGTGGACTGACTTTTAGTACTCTCTGATGCTCAGCAGGTTATTTATCCTGTCTGGGCCCCATCTGCCAGTGAGAGGATTGAGGAAGCACATTCCAGTGGTGCTGGAATTTTCCTAACCCAAGCGGGCTGGTTTGGAGCGTGATGGATTCCTGGCCATGCCCATTGCTGGCGGGAGTCCTGGCTGATGCTGTCTCCCTGTTTCCTTTGCAGGCTTTGTACATGTTCTACGCCTTGGCCATAGTATGTGATGACTTCTTTGTTCCATCTCTAGAGAAGATCTGCGAGGTGCGTGGGAAGGACTTAGGACCTTTGGCAAAGCCTGGGTGGGGGGCTAGGGGTGACTGACACTTGGTGTGTTAGTACCAGGCCAAGATGTGGGGAGCACTAGGACGATGAACGTTGTCAGGCCAAGTACTTGGCGTTGCTAGTGCAAAACCTCACTCTGAAGCTCCAGGTTAAAATTAGGGGGTGGTGTCCTTCACCAGAGCTTGGCAGAAGAAAATGCTCCCCCAGTGAAATTAGTACCCAGGACCTCTGGCTTCACAGCAGGTGCTGGTAGTTAAGCCAAAGCTGGTTAGTTAGGAAGCATTTGCCAAAAACAGCTGCAGGTGGGGCTCTGTGTCCCCAGGGAAGATGCTGAGCTGCAATGGCAGGGAATGCCCTTGGTCCTAACCTTTGCAACCTGACATTTTCTCCTTTTAATTCTTTTGTTACGTTTTCCCAGTCTTGCCCCCTCCTCCCTCAGCTTCTAGCCAAGGAAGGAAAACTGTCTCTGTTTTTAGCATCTACTGTGTTCAGACTGGGGGCTTCCCAGGTGGGGCTAGTGGTAAAGAACCTGCCTGCCAATGCAGGAGACACAAGAGATGTGGGTTCAGTCCCTGGGCTGGGAAGATCCTCTGGAGAGAGAGCATGGCAACCCACTCCAGTATCCTTGCCTGGAGAATCCCGTGGGCAGAGGAACCTGGCAGGCTGCAGTCCATAGAGTCGCACAGAGTCGGGCAAGACTGAAGCGACTTAGCCCACATGCACAAGTGCAGACTGATCTGGGTGTCACTGCACTTTATCCACATGAAGTCTCCCAGCTATTTTAGGTCATACTGTCATTGGCAGATTTGCAGGTTGGACATGGATTGTTAGGGGTGGGCACGTCCCCATTACTTTACCCTTTGCTGAGCTCACAGCAGGACTGCTGCTTTTGACCTAGTTCACTAAGTGGTGAGTGACCTGGCAAAAGTGTGCAAAGGCCCTGCCTTCCCTTTGCTCCACACTTGACCCCTTACCCGACTCAGATAAAACCATATGCTCTTTTTCAAGATACTTGTCAGTGACAGAATTGAGCCAGAGGGGGAACAGAATCAGGAAATGGCTACTGGGATGTCAGGGTTGAGTGCTCAACCTAGAGGCAGCCCCAGGGTGGTGGGCTATCACTTCTTCACAGGAGGCCCTCAGGAAAAACAGTCAACTGGTCTTTCTAGAATACACACCCCAGAATATGCTGTGGGTCGCAGCAACAAGGTTGGGTCCCCTGCCCTCTTTGGGGTGACAGAAGCCCATGGACACAGGACCACATTCAGTGGAGATGCTAGACGAGTTTACCCATCTCCCTAAAAACACAGAGGTGAGCAAGGGTGATAGCCCTGGCCTCATAGGAAGATTGATGGAAGAGACCTAGTGAGAGCCATCAAAAGTACTGAGGATTCAAAAGGAATCTTTTGAATCTTTCTCCCCATCTATGGGGAGAAACCAAGGAAAACTTCATGGAGGAGGTGGCATTTGGTCCAGGCTTTGGAATTGAGAAATTCCACTAGCTGAGTGGAAGGAGAAGGTCATTCCAGAGGGAAGGAGTGACCCAAGCAGAGGCAGGAAGGTGGCAGGACAGGATATAGCATGGTTTGGATTCTGCTAAAAGCTATTATAGGTGCTTTGATGGCTGAACCTCTGTGACACCTCCTGTTTGGCAGGGCTAGAGTGAGTGGGCTTTTGCCTGGGGAGTCAATGCTATGCCCCCATCCCATTTTCCACCAAACCCACAGCTCCAACCCTTCTGAGGACTCCTTCTGTAGCAAGCTTACTGAGGAGGTTGTACTGGCCCAGGGAATGGATTCCTCAGTGGCTTCAGAGCCCAGGCTCCCCAGGAGTGCTTTGAGAGGGTGGAGCTGGAGGAGGCCAAGTCCTGCTCTGAGCCAGTCTTCCCAGAGGCCTTCTAAAGACCATAGCTGGGCACCTTCAGGTTGGCATTCAGGGGGACTCAGAATTTCCATGGTTTTCCCAAGCACCCAAAGCCCCCAGCCCAAAATTCCAGATCAGAGGATGGGCCTCTGTGTCCAGAACATGGTCTCACCAAGCAGAATGGGCCTAGATAGCTCTAGCCCTGTCCCAGGGCTTGGCAGAAGAAAATGCTCCCCCAGTGAAATTATTACCCAGGACCGACTCGACTCTGGGGACAAGAGGTAAGGTCTATTCCAGTGGGCAGCCAGGTGTCTGGCCTGCCATTGGGAAGGCCTTCTGGGATGCAGGGGCCAGGCTATGCACCTGAGTTTTCCACATCCCACAACCTGATGTATGGATGTTCGCATGGTACTCAAGGTCTGCGTGAGCACCAGAAGTGACAGGCGCTAGACTAGCAGACTCCCTGATGATCCCCAGCTCCTGTTCCAGGCATCCAAAGGTGAAAAAAACCCATCTTGTCATCCAGTGGGGAAGCATGTACGTGGACCTCAGATCCTCACTGCATGAGTCATGTTTCAGCTTCTCTTCCCTGGGGGAGTGGCTGATTCGTGGTGGCCCTTTTAAAAAGCCTTCATCAAAGAGAGACTGTTTAAGCATTCAGACAATGAACAAAACTTGACAGGTGGGGGAAGGGGAGAGGGGACTCGGGGGTGAGCATCAGGCAGAGTGGAGGAGGGCGTGTGCTCAGGATGAGTGAAGAGAGGCCACCAGCCCTGAAGCTTGACTCTGGCTGCGGGTCTGTGCCCTGCGCTCTCTGTAAGTGTCCAGTAGGCATGTTTACTGCTCCCACAGTACAGCCTGAGGGTCTGCGGTCACTTCTGTTTCAGAAACTCCATCTGAGCGAAGATGTGGCTGGAGCCACCTTCATGGCTGCGGGAAGCTCAACACCAGAGCTGTTTGCCTCTGTTATTGGTAAGAAATCCTATCAGCTTGAGACACGGGATATAGGAAGAACCCAGGTTGGATGCCCAGACTCTTGTGGGTGTTTTTTCAGCTCTGAGTGTCAGTTTTCTCATCTGTAAAATGGGAGACGTGGAGAGAAAGTGAATTAGTGGTTCCCTGGGGTGTGGAGTGGAGTAGGTTACTCACAGGTATGGGATTTCTTTTTGAGGTGATGAAAATGATCTAAAATTAGATTGCGGTGATGACTGTATAATTCTGACTCTACTAGAAAGCACTAACTTGGTATTTTAAGTGGGTGAACCTTACAGCATGTGAATTATCACTGAAGCTGTTCCCCACAATGGGAGGACTGGTGTAGCGGGTCCCTAAGGACTCTTCCATGTCTGGTTTTGCTGTTCCCACCAGCATCTTGGGTGTTCCCTGGTAGTAAGAACAAGTCCTGTCCATTCATGGGATGGGGGACACAGAGCCGGCCAGGGTCTGAGGAAGGAGTAGGCCTGGGCTTGCACATGAGGTCTGTGCCTCTTTCTTCCCAGGCGTGTTCATCACCCACGGAGACGTCGGGGTTGGGACCATCGTGGGCTCTGCTGTGTTCAACATCCTGTGTATAATTGGAGTTTGTGGATTATTCGCAGGGCAGGTCAGTGGTGTCTCTCTTCTCATGAAATGACATAGGGATAGCGTGGGAGAGACCCAAGGCCCAGCCTTAGCCATGCCTGCAACTCCCCGTGGCTTTGAGCAGGGGTGTCCCCTCCGAGTCCATTTCCTCGTGTGTAACAGGGGTGTCCTGTGTTCCTTCCACAAGTGGGTCTGAGAGCAGAAAGAGTGCCAGCTGCCCCCTTGGCTGGTCTGGGGGTGGGATGTGGGGCGTTTATTGGACAGCAGTAAATATTTAAGAAGCATTTTCTGTAATGTAACCCTGACCGTGAGCTAGACTCTGGACTTACTTGGGGCCTGTCTTCGGCCTCCCTATGGGTGCATGAAGCTGGCTTGTCGATTCCCTATCACATCTTCCTGATCCTTGGAGCCACAGGGGGACATTAGCCTTGACCTCAGAGAGTTGGGCTCATGGCAGGCTGTGTTTGGCCAAGGGAGATAGAGGGAGGCAGCCAGTCACCCCCAGAAAGTTCTAGCACTAAGAGAAGAATGAGTATCTCTGGCCTCCCATGGCCACATGGCTTCTCCTGAGATATGTGCCATTTGGTCACCGTGAAGGAGCAGGGGGAAGCTTTGCCATTACTTACGAATGTGAACATGCTGTCCTTCTGTCCCCAAATATGACCAAGAGCGCAAGGTGGCCTTGAGCAGCCAGACACGCTGTGGTCCTGGTGGACAGTTAAGATGAGCTCCGAGGGCATGTGTCTGCAGCTGCAGGGGTCTGGGGATGATGGGACCCCCAGCTGTGACCCCCCACACCCCATCTCCCCAGCTGGTAACGCTAATGGCCCTTTGCTCGGCAGGTGGTCCGTCTGACATGGTGGGCTGTGTGCCGAGACTCCGTGTACTACACCCTGTCTGTCATCGTGCTCATTGCCGTGAGTTAACACGCCCTCCCCCTGCCCCACTGTCCTGTCCCTGGCATTATGAGAACCCATGGCACCCACAGCACCCCAGGCTGGCCACTCACGGTGGTCATGTTGACCTATTCCCCACCATGGTGCTTCCCTGTCCCGAAAACTTCATACCTGATGCTTGGTTATCAAGCACATCCAGGTACCACCCTGAGGGCAGAAAGGCCTTGAAAAAGCTAAAGCAGGCATCATATGGTTGATGCAGTTAAGCTTAAGAATGTGCTCATCAGAGGCTTCCAGATCCTCACTTAAAGCCGGTTTCCTAAGGAGCAGAGTTTCTGGTCTCCCAGCTCACTGCAGAGCTGGGAAGAGAGAGACCAGCTGGGAGCCCTCAGGGTGGGCAGCTGGGAGCAAGGATGTGGGCAGAAAAGGCAGAGGGCCTGAAACAGCGACCCCTGAGGGCTGGGGTGACATCATACATAGCATGTGACAGTGACACAGCAGTGAAGCCCAGGACATGGTTTACTGCTGAGGACCATCCACAGGGGAGCAGTTTCCATCCAAAAGCAGCTTTCAAGTGAGTGCATGAGGGCAGGTCATATCAAGAGGGCAGATGCATGTGGCATGCCCAGATCTCAGAGTATGAAATATGTTCTAGAATAGTTCTCCACCTAAGGACATCTAGAGCCAACTGGATTTGATAACCATGATCTTTGTATTAATTAGCTTTTGCCATGTATCAAATTTCCCTCAACTCTCAGCGGCTTAAGACAGCAAACATTTATTGCCCCCTTTTTCTATGGATCAGATCTGGGAGTGGCTTAGCTAAGCCCTCTGGCTGAGGATCTCTCACCGGTGTACCCACCGGCCAGAATACAGTTATGGCACGGCTCCCCTGGGCAACAGTCTGCTTTCAAGATCCCTTGTGAGGCAAGGGGCAGGCCTCAGGCTTGTCCATAGAACAACTCACATCACTGGGGACTGCTTCCCATCCCAGCAAGGGCGAGGAGGTGCCGAGATGGAAGCCACAGTCTGTTTGTAACCGAGTCTCGGACGTGACAGCCATCACTTTTGCCATATTCTGTTAGGAGCAGATCCCTAAGACCAGGCCACATACACAAGGGGAGCTTGAATGTCAGGTATCTGAGAGACTGCCCACCACACCCCCAAAAATGAAAGTTAGAGGTAAAACAATTTACCTATATATGATTTTACCAAATCAGCATAATGCCCAAACTATATCATGAAAGACAAAAATAATTCATAATAAAAGAAAACATCTAGTGTATCACTGTTTGGGCAGGAAGATGCTAGAACGCTGAGTGATGTAATCTGTTACGCTCAAACAGGAAGTCTCCAGGCCCTATGGCTCCCAGTACAGGCTGATATGCTGGACTGGCCTCCCCGTGAGTGGTGTTGACATTGATGATGGAATTTTCTGAAATTATGAATGACTCCTGATAAAATCCTAAACTGAGCCAAGTACAGTCATCCCTCTCCACTTGTGTGATAGCTAACTCACTAGAAAATTAAGTATTTATTAAAACTGTGTAAAACTACTTTGATTTATAAAATGGAGTTAAGTTCAAGGCTCAGGTCTTTTTTTTTTTTTTGCTGCTGGCTTAAATATCTAGCAGGACATTTAAGATGTAGGTCAAATATGGATAACTCCTCTGGGAGAAACATTTTACATGTTCGAGACTGACTGGTGTCCCTGGTCTTCATCCTCTAAATGCCAGTAGCCTTCCACTGGGTAATAAAAAGCTGAGACTGTCCCCTTAAGTGCCCCCCAGGTTCCTCAGGTGGTGATACCAGGCTCCCCTCTGCCTCTTCCTCAGAGCTTTGAGTCTGGGGAGCCTCAGAGCAGTGCTCAGCCAGGATGACCCTGTCCGAGGGGCCTCCCAAAGCAGATCCTGTGTGTGCTGCCCTCCTGGCAACCAGCAGAGGGTGCAGTGGGCCCAAATCCAGACTGCAGCCCGTGGCCTGTCCTGGCATTGTGTATAGGGACCCCAGTGTCTCCAAGATCTGATTGGTGGACATGGCCCCCTCCTGTGTGCACTGGGCCTGGCCGGGGCAGTTACAGGATGCCTTCCAGGACCACAAAGGCATCATTTGTCTGCATCCCACATAGGGGATGCTGGGTGGAGATGCTGGACAATGTTAATGCCCTCTTACGAAGCTGTGGCAACCTCGCCATCAACCCTGGCCTCCCTTCAAGTGGTACAAGTGGGTCCTTTGTCCTCAGAGCTTCCAAAGGGGTTATTCTTTATTTTTAAGACAATGACACCCTTTCCTCCCCACCCACCCCACCCCACCCCATCCCATCCCACCCCACACAGAAGTACCAAAGATGGAGGGAGGGAGAGATAGATAGATAGATAGATAGATAGATAGATAGATAGATAGATAGGCAGGCACAAACATACATACAGAGATAGCTTTTCAGTTTTTAAGATTCTTGATTTCAGCAACCCTGTTCCATTAATGAGGGCAGACCCCTGCAGATGGGCCCCCATGGCTACTTGGATTATCAGAAGGCCAGACCAGTTCTCTTTGGAGACCCATACTAGGCCTCATCCTGCAGCATCTGCAGACCAAGGTTTCCACTAAGGAAGGGTCACTTCTACATTTGAGAAACCCAGACCCAGAGAGAGGTGCCAGCTTTCTGTGAAAATCAGAACAAGCTTGTGTGCGTCTCCTCACGGTACTTAGGGGTCTGTGTATGTTTTTCTTTTGGAGTAAATCTGTCCCCTACTCTTGTTTCTTTTGCCTTCCCAGTTCATATATGATGAAGAAATTGTATGGTAAGTTTTAAACGTTTGTTTCTTTTTCACTTTTCGTTAGTATCCTTGTTTGTTGGGTGCGCTGAATCTTTTTTAAAAATTGTTTTTACAAATATAAGAACTTGTGAAAGTAAAAAAGGCTATCATTCTTTTGTACTATTTATTTATTCTTGACTGTATAGAGCCTTAGTTGCGGTATATGGAATCTTCATTGCAGTGTGCGGGCTTCTCTCTACTTGTGGCGTGGCCCCAGAGTGCATGGGCGTTCTAGTTGTGGTGCATGGGCTGAATTGCCTGTGACATATGGGATCTTAGTTCCCCAAATATGGATGGAACCTACATCCCCTGCATTGGAAGTTGACTTCTTAACCTCTGGACCACCAGGGACATCCCCAAAAGAGTATCATTCTAAGCAGTCATACCTTTATCTATCCTTTCAAAGTGACAAAGATTGTTTTCCTTAATATTACCACCCTGCCAGATAGCAAGATATTTTATAAAGCTAAAATAATGAAAGCAGTATGATTGTTTTGCACAGGAATAAAGGTGGGCCAATGCGGAATATGGAACTGAGAGCGCAGTAATGGGCAGTTCTGAGTTGGGGCATCATTACAAGGCAGAGAGTTGGGGATGGGGATGAGGATGAGGGCAGCCTCAGATTCTGCAAAAATGAAGAATCCATGTAGATCCCTCACACCTTATACAAGAATAAATCCCAGATGAATTCAAGATTTTGCTGCAAAAAGCAAAATTAAAGCATTTCAGGGTAGAATATAAAACTCATCTTTATGACACTGAGGTTGGAAATGATTTCTTAATTAAGATACAAAAGGCACAAACTTCTAAAGAGAAGGTTGATATTTCCACTCTAACCTTTAAGGCATGAATGTATTGGACTGGCCAAAAAGTTCATTCAGATTTTCCCCATGATGTTACTGTTCAGTCACTAAGTCTTGTCCGCCTCTTTGTGACCCCATGGACTGCAGCATGCCAGGCTTATCTGTCCATCACTATCTCCCCAAGTTTCCTCAAATTCATGTCCACTGAGTCAGTGATGCCATCCAACCATTTCATCCTGCCGCTCCCTTCCCCTCTTGCCCTCAATTTTTCCCAGCATCAGCATCTTTTCCAATGAGTTAGCTCTTCGCATCAGGTGGCCAAAGTATTGGAGCTTCAGCATCATGTCGTATTTTCCATAATATGTTGTGGTAAAAACCCAAGCAAACTTTTTGGCCAACCCAATACCTTCCACAAGCCATAAAAACATTCTCTTCATTGACAGTGATTGAGATCTGTATCCTGTATGTGATCATTTGTGGGAATGTATTCACGAGGCCTGACGTGAGCAGCTGCATGCTATGGGAGCAGAGCATGCTGGTTCTGGGTCTGCCTCACCCTGTGAGCCAGAAAGTCTCTTTCTTCTGGGTCTCCGCTTCCTCACCTGTAGGCGGAGTTCTGAGGGGGTGGTCAAATTGTTTGCAAACCCCTTTATCTCTCCTGGGCTCTGGGCTCTGTCAGCAGAGGAAGAGCTCCCCAAAATGAGTATAGCTCATGCTGGGCACTTAGTAGGTCTTCAGGACACATTACTCAGATGACCCAACAAGTTAAGCCATGGGACTGCCCAGAGGCTTCTGTTCGGAGCTACAGAAATCCCTACCACGTGTGGGGTTGGATGCTGCTTCTGCAGGACAACAGGAAGAGTGCACCCCAGAAAGACTCCCACCCCACCGGCCCCCACCCCATGTTCTACCCAAGAGGCTACTGTGCCCGGCCTGTCTCTTCAGGCAGTTCTTAGGGTTCCTTGCCACCTGACCCCAGCTCCTCTGGTCGCTGGCCAGAATCTCGCTTGACCACACGGTCCTTTAGGGTCAAGTCTGCATGACCTCTGGCCACCCCCCTCCCTTCCCTGGGAAGAGGTACTGTGCTTAGTCACTCAATCGTGTCCGACTCTTTGTGATCCCATGGACTGTAGCCTCCAGGCTCCTCTGTCCATACGGATTCTCCAAGCAAGAATACTGGAAGTGGGTTGCCACTGCCTTCTCCAGGGGGATCTTCCCAACCCAGGGATCGAACCCATGTCTCCCATATTGCGGGTGGATTCTTTACCATCTGGGCCACCAGGGAAGCCCAAGAATACTGGAGTGGGGAGCCTATCCCTTTCCCAGAGGATCTTCCTGACCCAGGAATCGAAACGGAGTCTCCTGCATTGCAGGTGGATTCTTTACCGGCTGAGCTCCCAGGGAAGGCCTGGGATGAGGTGGTTCCTCCCTTTTCTAGGTAGCTAGAGGAGCTCCTCCTGAGTCCCGCTGAGCCCCTGTAGTTGAGAAGACCCCACCCCAGCCGTCTCTGTTACCGAGCGAGTGCCAGATTGCCGGACAGATGGGGGCTGGGCGGCTCGTCCACCGGGCTGGGTCCTGGGTCAGGGAAGGTGGCCGGACACCCTGTCCTGCCCCACCTGCCGTGCCGGGCACTCCCCGCCACAGGCTTCCCTGGTTCTAACCAGTCTCCTTTCTTTCTCTGAGGTGGGAAGGCCTGGTGCTCATCATCTTGTACGTGTTTTACATCCTGATCATGAAGTAAGTGCCCTTTCTTCTCTCCTGTGCTGTCTCACCCCTGGCTCCATACCTGCTGCAGCCTTTCGTCAGAGTCAGAAGAAAACCTCTGGTAGCCCTTTCAGTCATTTTTGGCCACCCCTTTCTCCAGGGGACACCCTGCTGGGGCAGCCAAGGTGGGAGAGAGAGATTCAGACTCTCTTTTGGGGTACTGTCCACATTTGGGCCAGGGCAGGCAGCTGGTGGCCAGAGACGGAGGCCGCTCCCTGAACGAATAACAACCAAGGACCTCTCCCTCACCGAATTCCACACCCTTGGCCCCAGGGTGACTGCTCTTGTTTGCTGTCTCTATAAATCCCCTGATAATTTAATGCCACTCTTTCGAAAGAGCCAGGCAGCTCAAATCTCTCCAGACTCGTAAAATGCCACCTCTGGAGGCTGTCACCTTGCGCAGCTGCAGCGGGTAGCGCAGGCAGTTCTAAAGATGCAGACACCAGGTGGGGGGTGTGCACCCGTGAGGCCCTCCGGAAGCTTTCCGGGTCAGAATCATCTCGTAACTACCCATGATGAGTAGCAGTCAGTCATGAAAAGGAAAGTATGACTCATGCCATGATGTGGGTGAACCTTGAGGGGATTATACTGAGTGAAAGGAGTCAGATCACAAAAGGACAAACACTGGGCCGATCCTCTTCTGTGAGGTGCTGAGGAGGCTCGGATTCCTAGAGGCAGGCAGCAGATGAGAGCTTGATTACCGAGTGCATGGGGGAGGGCGTCGTTAATGATTCCTTGACAAATGAGACCCGAGTTCTGTTTGAGATACTAACAATTTGAGGACTCGATAGTGGCGACTGGTTGCACCACCTTAGAGATGTAATTATGGCCACCGAAACGTGAGCCTGAAAATAGAAAATAGTTAAAATAGAAAATTTTATGTCAGATGTATTTTTCCACAATTGAAAAAAAAAAGCTACCCATGAGCTAAGCCACATTCAGATTTTTAATTTTCTCCTCACACCTCCGCAGATAATTAAAAAAGAAAACACCACTGAGGTTTATGAGACTGAATCCCCATGTTGACATAAAACACGTATCGTGTTTTCTAAAAATGGATGGTAAGCTGTCAAAACTGCAGGAGAAATGTCTTTAAAGGTCTCTTCTCTGAGTGCCTTTGGCTGAGGCCGCCAGCCTGCAGTCTGGGATGGAGTCTCCTCTCTGTGGGGACAGTGGCGCTGGCGGGACGGTGTGGGGGCAGGGCCTCTGGGCACCCACGGTTAGGCCAGGCCTGGGAGCGCCTGCTTCGAGCCTCTCCTGAGGCTGGGCTGAGCTGCTTTCGTGAGGACAGGCTTATGGTGCGCATAAGTGGGCGTCAGTCATTTTCTTGAGCTAAAAGTTCTCTTATGACCCCAGGAAGCCCACTCAAAAGGGGCAGGCCCCATTGTTCCAGGGTTCCTGTCAGGAAGCTCTGTCAGCTCAACTGAAAAGATTAGGACTAACATAAATACACTATTGACACTATGTATAAAACAGATAATGGGAAACCTACTGTATAGCACAGGGAACCCTTCTCATGGCTCTGGGATAAGTTTAATTGAAAGGAAGTCACAAAAAAAGAGGGGATATCTCTGTGTATGGAGCTGATTCACCTTGCTATACAGTAGAAGCTCACACAACATTGTAAAGCAACTATTAATATAATCGGATAAAAATTAAAAAAAAAAAAACCCTTAGCTCGCCACCCCCTCGCCCAAGGCCAAGCTCACTGCAGGTGCGCAGGGGAGGGGGGTGGGGAAGAGGCCCCTGCCCACTCCCCCTGCCCCCAGCCACTCCCCTGCCCAGTCTCTCCTGCAGCTCTGACCTCCCGCCTTAACTCACTCGCAGGTACAATGTGAAGATGCAGGCCTTTTTCACAATCAAACAAAAGACTGTTGCAAATGGCAACACGGTCAGCAGTGAACTGGAGGATGGTAACGATTACTGTGATAGTAGCTCTGATGACCCCTCCCTGCCATTGCTGGGGCAAGGTAAGGCTGAGCAGACAGGAGCGGGCGAACGTGCCACCAAAACCACACCAGCACACACACCATAAGCTGTCACTGTCTCCCTTGGTCACGGGACCCTACATGAGGAGGGCAAGTGATGTGGGAGCTGCGGCTCAGATGGGACAAGAATGAGCCCAGCGTCCACAGTCACATCCCCAGGGGTCACCCCAGGCCTCCTGAGGAAGGCTCAAGGCCTGCCTGGCTTTCCTGAAACACAGTGAACCATATATCTGACCCGGGTCAAAGGCCAGTGGCAGGAAGCTGAGGACTTGGGAAGGCAGAGCAGGTGGGGTCTCCCTGTGGTTTCTCAGATGCCAGGCCTGGATCTGGAGAGCTCTGTTCTAGAAAGACCGCTGACTCACTGCCCAGAGGAACAGCAAGGCTGGGGAGGACACCATGGAGCTGGTGAGGAATTCCAGACCTGCCCCCAAGAGCCCCACTGGAAGCCCCTTCTCCTGGGGGATGCGGTCTGGTCTCCTCAGCTTCTCTCTGGACCCTTGTCTGGGGATTCTGGGCCTCTGAAGCCAGCCCGGGTCTGTCAAGTACCCCCAAATGTCTGGGCCTGACCAGCTACTGCCTTGGGAGCCTTGTCTTCAATTCTTTTTATTTTTTGGCTGAACCTTGCTGCATGCAGGATCTTAGTTCGCTAACTAGAAATCGAACTTATATCCCGTGCAGTGGAAGCTCAGATTCTTAACCACTGGACCACAAGGGAAGTCCCTATTCTCAATTCTTAACCCAGCCAGTTATCTGGTAACTGGTTACCTGGTAACTCCATCCAGGGGGGCAGTTCTGCCAGGGAGCGCCAACAGCATTGATCCCCTCTCCCACCCAAGACTTATGCTAAGGTCTGAATAGGTTCTTGGAGTCAGGATCTGGGGGGAAAAACAACTTTAACTGGCATTGCCAACAAGTTCCACCCACGGTGTTGGTAAAGGTCTCCTTTAACCAGGAAAAAGCACCATGGACAAGCCTCCTGGGGGGTATTTCTCTTTTATTCCTCACGGCCTTGGGCAAGTCACTGTCTCTCTTAGGTCACTTTAATTCCTAATTCCTATAGGCTCAGAGGGGACTGTTTGCCCATGTCTGGGACCCGTAGGGGCCAAAATCTATACTCCTAGGCACTTCCCCAGCCCTCACCCTGGGATGGATCAGGGTAGGAGATTCCTCACATGTGCACTCTGAGCAAGTGCTGGGTTGGCCAAAAAGTTTGTTTGGATTTTTCCGTGAGATGGTGTGGTGAACCCAAACAAACTTTTTGGCCCACCCAATATGTTCTGTCCCATCTCAGGTAACCCCCAGGAGGAGGGCAGCTGTCGTGGGTGCTGAGTGAGGGGTGGATCTCTCCACGTGGAAGGAGGAAGGCTGCTAGGGAGAGGGTATGGGTGCAGCCAGAGTCACAGGCCCACCCCGGGGGCCCCGGGAAGGAGACCAGCAGAGCATGGGCCTGTGCCACGTGCCTGTATCTTAGACGTGAGCAGGCTGCCCCAGAGAGAGCCGTTTCCAGAACAGCTTTGTCGGGGAGGAAGGAACAGTGTGGCCGCTGTCTGGGATTTTTAGCTCCACAGACACAGCGGCTCCAAGGCGGGTCCCCACCCCTCAGATTTTCTTAAGACAGAGGCTCTTCCTGTCCATCCTCATACATTGAGATCAGGGCTCCTGGGGTCCTCCGGACCTTCGTGGTGAGAGGAACGATTCCATGTGCTGAGTCATTCGGGCCAGTGGGAGATGCCCGCATCCTCAGCTGCCAGCCCCGGGAGCTACCTGCTACCCATGTGGCTGATGGAGGAGGCTGGTCCCCAGTGCCACGTGTCAGGGACGTGAGCACTTCCTCTTCCAGGCAAATCCAGGCTGCCCTGAGGCCACGTGGGGCCTTTCCAGATGCTCTCTGATGCCCTCACTTTTGTATCCATGTCAGTACGATTTCCCGCAAGTTTATTGCTTTCCCCCAAACCTCGGAGTCCAGGACAATTTCTGGAAAATTGAAATATTAGACACAAGACTGTCCCCTAAGGCCAAGGAAAGGAGGGGACATAGATCTCCCTCCAGCTCTTATCAGGGTGAACGCACTTAGATAAAAGCCAAGGAGGAAACGGGATGGGGCAGGGTTGGGGGACATAGGCCTGGAATCGGAGGGGCTGGAGCCTGGAGTTGCAGGCCCGGATGGTGGCTGCTCCTTTCGGGCCCGTGCTCTTCAGGCCTCCTTCCTGGGTCTCCTTCGGTGGGCACCTCTCCCCAGCAGCCTTCCTTCTTCCATATGGAGAGATCCACCCCTCACTCAGCACCCACGGCAGGCGCCTTCCTCCTGGGGGTTACCTGAGACGGGACAGAACAGATTGGGTTGGCCAAAAAGTTCGTTCGGACCCTCCATCCCATATTAAGGAAAATTCCACACGAACTTTTTGGCCTACCCAATACTTGCTCAACATGCACACAGGGTGGGGGTGGGGGGCAAGCGGGGCAAGTGTTTGTGACTCACTGAAGGGCACTGTCCCCTAGAAGCAGATTGACTGGGGCAGGAGAGTACACCCCAGTGGGGGCTGGGAGTGGCCTGAGGATAACAGGGCTTCGTGATTTTACCTTTTCTGACAGTGTTGCCACAGAATCTTTCAAACTCAGAGCTCATCTCCCCTGGTCCTCCAGGCAGGTCACATAAACCACCCCATTCAGGGTTGTCAAAGATTGCTGGCTTAGAGATGCTTTCAGGAAGACACACACACACAAAAAAAAAACCCTGATTTTGCTGTTTTGCAGTTTTGGTATTTCCCATAGATGTAAAATCAAACTTTTTTTTAACCCAATCTCTTGACAGGAAAGGAAACGTTGTCTTTTTACCCCGCACTACTATAAAATGCCATTATGTACTTGAATGCTCTTAAAGATCATGCAATTCAGCTCACCAGTTCAGCACACGCTGGTGTTCTCTTTTAGGGAGAAGAGCATCCTCCAGTTTTGTTCTGCATGCAGTTTTTTTTCCCCCTAAAAGTTTTACACATTTTTTATACCACACTTCAATTCTGCTCAAGAAAGCAGAGCACAATACTCCAAGAAAGTGTCCAGGATGGAGGCAGGCAGGCACCCCATTTCCTGTCATGGCTGGGGGGTCTGGCCTCTCCTTTCTGGCTATCCGGGGGCCTTGCACATGACCCGATAGCCGGGGCCATTTTGACCACCAGCTGGGCTCACTGTAGGACCTTTCCAAGCTTCCCTGGCCCTGGATACAACTTTGTCTTGGAACGGGGAGGGAGCGGGTGATACCTGGCCTTCGATTGAACTTCTGGGGCAACATGGTGACATTGGCTGGGTTACCTGCTAAGCAGGCGGTGGGTGGTGCCAGGATGAGATGCCCAAGAAGCCAAGTATCATGGTCTTTCCCTCCTCCTAAGCCCAATTGTTCCCCAAGGTGATGCCTGTGATGGGGCTGGCTTTGCCTATGGAGTGTGTGGATGTATTCCTGGTTTCCCCTCCCTCGGAGGTGGGGGCTCCAGAGGACGGGGGTGTCAACTAAAAAAGATGCACAGGCACCAATTTGTAGTTGACAGAGAGATTCCAGTTTTCCTGCCGCAGGGTGGGGCCTCGGGCATGAGGGTTCCTGCTCCTCAGGGTAGAACCGAGCTGTGGAGTTCAGCCAGGAGAGGGGCCGTCCCCAAGGCCAGAGGTCCTGAGCATTGAAGTCCCCCTACTAACACCCTCCTTCACATAACCCCCGGCATCTTGGCCACCATCAAGAATGCTGCCCCAGACTCCCGGCGTCCACCGCACGCTAATCATCTCTGCAATCTCTGTTGGCCTTTGTCTCCTTAACACTTCTCCTCTTCTAAATTGTAAGTAATCTGCTTTGACCCAAGCAATAACACATGCATTTAAGAAACAGAGCCCACGAGTCCAATGCACACCTCATTGGCGGTTAATATTTGCCTCCCACAAATGCATGGTCCTCCCGGCTTTGGTTCTAACCACATGCCTCCTGTCTGCTGAGCCTTGCTGCCTCTTGGGTGAGGGTGTGTGTGTCTAGTGTGCATTTGTTCGTGTTTGTGCTATTAACTCTCATGCAGGTTTGCTCTGACTGCTCCTAGTTACCCTGGTATCCAGGAAGGACACTTATCAGGAGCTGGTGACCAGTGGAGAGGGATGGGCATACCTGCTTTGGCAGCGCTTCGGAGGGGAAAGTCTCCCCTGCTTCTGTGTGCTGTGTTCAGGAGTGTTTCTATTTCTGGACCCTCCTGGGCTCTGGAGTTAACTGTCAAGCCCCCCAGGGACTCCAGCCCAGAGCATGTTCCTGAAGGTGGCGGGGAAGGTCCAGGGACCAAGGAGATTTGGTCTTCAGCCTCATGAGTGGAAGCAAAGGGTCAGAGAGAGTGGCCTCCCTGCTGGAGGGTGCTGGTTTCACTGGAGACTCTGGTCTTGGCCAGCAGCTCACTGTGCACCCCTCACAAGCAGGCTCCTCTCCTCCGTCTCAGTTGCCTCGTCAGGGCCTGTGAGCCAGATCTTTGACCTCGCTGCCTACCGCCTCATGGAGAACAAATTGGGAAGCATACTGTGTGCAAGGTGGAGATTGTTCCTCTAAAACAGAGCAGGTAGCTTCACAGGAAGCTTAGAACCAGTGCTCTCTGTTACCTCCCAGCATTTTCCCTTGAGGGGACCCTTGTCCATTTGTTAAGTTTTGTGTGAGCCTCCGTAAATGGTGGGGAAGAAAGGTCCCCCTCAGAGTCATTGGTGAGAGGTGGCAGGGATCCAGTGCACTTTGTAGGTGGGCTGCCCCATGAGGCTTAGGTGAGGAACTGAAAGACCCTTGCATTTAGCCAAGACTGGGCCCCAGAAGAGAGGGTCATCAGTCAGCAGAGGGACTAGCCCTGAAGATGTGCGAGTGGTCCTGCAAAAGGGGGACCCTGGGGATCTGTTCAATACTTGTGGGTGGTTCAGACCCAGGTGGTTGCTCTACTAATGGGAGGATCTGCAGCCAGGCTCCCATGTGGCTACCAGCTGCTGAGACCACAGCTCAAGAAGTCTGCACCTTGGGGGGATGTCAGTCACCCAAGCCCTGGGGTTTTGCCCTGGGGGTTTTCAGCACTAATCATGGCTTTGTGCTCAATATAGTGAAGGAGGAGCCACAGTACAACAAAAACCCAGTGGTGATGGTGGACGAGGTCATGAGCTCCAGCCCTCCCAAGTTCACCTTCCCAGAGGCAGGCTTACGGGTCATGATCACCAATAAATTTGGGCCCAGGACTCGTCTGCGGATGGCCAGCAGGATCATAATTAATGAGGTAAGTTTCCTTCAAGGCCCATGAGACCACGCGAGCCCAAGGCCTTGGATGGGTTCCAGCACTGCAGGAAGCCCTGGCTTGTCAGGACACTTCCTGGCGTTGGGCCTGAAGTGTCCTCTGCCAGGCTGGTGTTTGCACCTGTTGAAGCAAGGAAGCCCAGACAGCACCCACAGGCAGCAAATGATCCTATCGGGAAGGAGTTTAAGGCAGATAGCAATCGAATACCATGTCTGCCACATTCCACTAGGTATTTTGTCAAGTACTAGAGAAAGATTAATTGGAGAAAGACTGGTCTGAAGTACAGATTTTTTTTTTTTTTAATGTTACTCAGGGCAAAAAAAAAAAAAAGAATGCACACCTATTCTCTATGTTTAGAGCAACTCTAGAAGAAAACTGAAAAACTATAGAAACCTTCTGGTTTGTCTCTCTCAGCATGTGGATCCATCACCTCCTTTGTTATAACGAGGAAGTGAAGTGAAAGTGAAAGTCGCTCAGTCGTGTCCATCTCTTTGCAACCCCATGGACTATATAGTTCACGGAATTCTCCAGGCCAGAATACCAGAGTGGGTAGCTGCTCCCTTCTCCAGGGGATCTTCCCAACCCAGGGATTGAACCCAGGGCTCCCACATTGCAGGCAGATTCCTTACCAGCTGGGCCACCAGGAAAGACCAAGAATACTGGAGTGGGTAGCCTATCCCTTCTCCAGTGGATCTTCGCAACCCAGGACTCGAACCAGGGTCTCCTGCATTGTAGGTGGATTCTTTACCAGCTGAGCTACCAGTGTTATAACTTATGTCTTTTTTAATGCAACCTCAAGATAGCTGCAGATTTTCTTTTTCCAAGGATAATTCTCTCTTGATTCCTACAAAGCTAGAGTCATGACCCCCTTCCCATTGCTACCGCTGAGTCACTCCTTACAATTCTGTCCTTGCACAGCTGTTGCTGAGTCCAAACTTAGTCCGTCGCCACAGGACTGGCCAATTAACTGAGAGATTAGGTGTTGAAGCAATGACTAGGACATTATTTGGAAAGCGACTGATTGAGAAGATGGCAGACTAATGTCTCAATATGACAGAGGTGGGGAGGTGGGTAGTTGAGTAAATAAAGACCTTTATCTTGCAGAAATCTTCTGGAATGGCCAACCTGGGAGAAGAGGGGTGATGTGTTAATCAGAGGGGCAGGCTCCCCTGTGGCAGGCCTTTAGGGAGGGAATGTGTTAATCTCTTCCGGAAGAGGGTCAGGGTTACCTGAAAAGTATTAGTCGTTCAGTCGTGTCCAACTCTTTGCAACCCCGTGGATTGTAGCCTGCCAGACTCCTCTGCCCATGGAATTCTCCCTGCAAGAATACTGGAGCTGGTGGCCAGTCCCTTCTCCAGGCAGGATCTTCCTGGCCCAGGGTTCCCTGAAGCAGGTTATTATGTTTGATTATAATAACAGAAGGTGGCATTAGTGGTATAGAACCCACCTGCTAATACTGGAGACAAAAGAAACTCTGCTTGGAAGATCCCCTTGGGTGGGAGGCATGGCAACCCTCTCCAGTATTCTTGCCTACAGAATCCCATGGACTGAGGAACCTGGTGGGCTCCAGGTGAAAAATGTAATTTTTCAAAGGTTAAAGTCAAACAGATCCATCATGGAGTCAGAATTGGTTCTTCCCTGCAACACAGCTATTTGCAGGGTTTTTTGTTTGTTTTGTTTTATTTTGACTGTAAGGAAGACCTTTCATTTACCCCTTCTTGGGTAGTAAAATATTATGCCTGGGCGTGTGTCTCAGATGTAGATCACTTTTCTCTTTTAGGTGGCTAAATGTTGTGGACATGTTTGTAGGAAAAAAAGTTTTAGATTTCCACCCAATCCTAGACTTCATGATTTAGGAGTCCCTGCCTAAAACCAATATGAAGCCAGTTAATGGTCAATTCCTCTTTCTTTTGGAAAAATAACATGTTTCCATTTTAAGTAATAATGACTTTTTTGCCTATCTTTTTGCTTCCAGTAACCACAAGGATAAGTGTTAGGCACACAGTTATGGAGTATTGCCTTGGGGGCCTGTGTACTGACTCTTGGTTTCCTGCTGATGTAACTGCGAAGGAGCTTTGTGTCCATGTGTGATGATTATTACCCACAGGGCTTTAATCCTAAAGCATAAATATTTTTAATGAGAGCCAGATAAAGATGAGCTGTGCAAAGGCAAACATTTTCAGAAACAGGGAAACCTGTTAATTTCTTGGTATGTGGTTTCTTGCCTTTCTCCAGTTTAGTAGAAACCCATTGACTTGGCTTCTGCTTGGGTGGAAAGAAGGCAGACTTGGTCAACAGCTATAAGGAAATAGGGGAGGGAAGAGGTTTGATTGGTTCAGAGGATACCCATTACACATAGCGAAAGATTTGGACAGCAGAAGCCTTTCAGATGGCTACTAACCCTATAAGATGCTCAAATTAAAAGGGAAATGCAAATTAAAACCACAGTGAGATTCCACCACACATCCACCAGAATAACTAAAATTGGAAAAATTGACAATATCAAGCATGGACAAGGATGGGAAGCAACTGAAATTATAATCTTTTTCTGATACAAGTGTGAAATGGTTCACCTTGCACCTACCTTATGATCTCACAATCCCACTTCTAGATAAATACCCCCAGAGAAATGAGTTCATGTGTCCACAAAAAGGCATGGTCATGGCATTCTTCCTGATAACCAAAAAGAGGAAATAACCCAAATGCCCATCAAGTGGCAAAGGACATACTGTGTGTTATTCACACAGTGGAGTACTATAAACCCCTGGCTGGAGAAGGAAATGGCAACCCACTCCAGTATTCTTGCCTGGAAAAATCCATGGACAGAGGAGTCTGGCGGGCTGAAGCCCATGGGATTACATGACTGAGCATGTGTGCACGAGCGTGGAGGGAGATGGGTTGGTAGCAATAAACTGGTAGAACTAAAAAAAAAAAAAAGACCCTGGAAAATAACGAACTACTGATTCATGCAACAAGGTGGCTGAACCTCACAGATATCGGGTTGAGTGAGAGAAGTCAAATATAAAATAATATGTCCTCTCTGAATCCATTTACAGGAAATTCAAGTTCAGGAAAAACTTAATTGATGTGTATAAAGTCAGAATGGGGTTACCTTAATTACTTCTGGGGAGAGGGGACCCTTAGTGAGTTGTCTGAGAGGCTGGAAATGTTCTACATCTTAATATAAACCATCACTGGACCACCGTACACAATGTAAATGCAATTTTTGCATGATATACCAGAAATAAGATTTTTTAACTATGCAAAGCCTCTCTTGTGAATGTCTTCTGATGGTTTATGACCATCCACTGGGAAAGTCAGAATGATTGCTTTTATCCAGTGTCATGGGCTAGTCTGTCAGGTTGACACTAAGAAGAAACCCTGGGCTCTGACCAGTACCTTCGCTGATACTGGTCCTAGTGGAAATGAGCAAACTTAGCTGGATTCTAAGGTCCTGGAGCCATGTCTCAGGCAAACCTGAAGCCAGGGGTGTTGTTCTCGAAACCCTTAACTGCCACCTGCCTATGAGGAACCAAGCAGCAGGGTGCAGCTTTGTCACATGCCTGGGTGTCTGTCTTGCCTACTGTCCACACAGAGGCAGAGGCTGATCAACTCAGCCAACGGCGTGAGCAGCAAGCCGCTTCAGAACGGGAGACACGAGAGCATCGAGAATGGGAATGTGCCCGTGGAAAACCTGGAAGAGCCACAGCGGGACCAAGAGCCCCCGCCGCAGCCCCCGCCGCCTCCCCAGGAGCCAGAGCCCGTGGAGGCCGCTTTCCTGTCCCCCTTCTCCATGCCTGGTGAGTCCTGGGGGCCAGGGCTCTCAGGCCACACTGCTGGGGGCTCCGAGGGTCCAAGTCCGGGTCTTCAGGATGGAGAGCTGGACCCAGGAGGGCGGGGGAGGCTGGTGTGAGGGTCCGACGTTAAGTCATTCAATGAACACCTCCTCAGTGCTGAACTGTGGGTTAGAGCTGCCATAGGAGGCAGGCACTGCCCAGGGCTGGGGAGCCTGGGGTGCCAGACAGCTGGCCAAGTGGAGGCCTGGGAAGTGCCCCAGTAGCCCCTCGTAACTGCACACAGGTGCCCAGGGCAGCAGGGCTTTCTCATGCAGTAAGAAAAAGCAAGCACATATGTTATTTTTATGGACATGCTCAGACTCTCCGGCCCTTCCAGTGTGGGCAGGCCATTTTGCCCATGTGTTGCATAGTTGCTGGGGCAGGATATGCTAAAGCCACACATGATCTTTAGACAGTTACACCTGATGTGTTTGGCGATAACTCCTACCTATAAATAAGTTAGAGCAGATGTGGCTCTGCCCCAGCCCTAAGTGTCCTCCCATCTCATTGGATGGGCCGTGTCATCTGATTGCCAGCTCCTCGCTGACCTCACCTGTGCTCCGGCCACACTGGCCTCCTCACTGTCCTCAGAAAGCAGCAGGTATGCTCCTGCCCAGGACCTTTGCACTTGCCCTTTGCCGAAATGTGCTTTGTTCTGCTACCTGTATCACTCACTTCCTTACCTTCCTCGGGTCTCTGCTTAAATGTCACCTTCTTGGTGTGGCCTTCTCTGACCACCCTAATTTAAGTATTTTGTATATTTTTTTTATCTTGTGTGTCTCCCAGGCCAAAATATCAGTTCCGTGCCAGCAAGTATCTTTGTCCATTTCATTCACTGTTGTATCCCCAGTGCCCAAGCCTGACACATAGTAGGTGCTTAGTAGATGTCCATCAAGTGAATGATTTCAGGAATTTGTGTGTGAGAGCATCCCCAGACACACCCAATCTGTCTTCATCTTTAGCCAAACTCCTCTGCAGTCCATGATGGGAAATGAAGGCCTGAACTCTTTGGCCCCATCTCAGAGGTTTTTTCTTGGTGTCCTGCCATCCTGAGAGGGAGCAGAATTCCAAGATTTTCAAGTCCAAAACTTGACATTTTTCCAAAAAGATTCCTGTGTTTAACAACAGGCTCACAGATGGCAACTGATTTGGGAGATGCCTTGGGGTGGAGAGAGGAGAGGAGAAGCAATAGGTCCCGGGGAGGAAGATGCAGACATGGTCCAGGAAACAGCCTACCTTGCTGGGGGTTCAGATTGAGAAGAAGCTGCCCATTGGGGGTTCTGTTCTCCAGCCCCAGGAGGTGGCTGGAATCCCCGTTTTACAGGTGTGGGATCTGGATGATGTTCCTGACCCCGCTCATTGTCCAGGGCTCTGCAGGAAACCAGGGAAGGGACCTGCCCTTTGGGGCAGCTGTCGTTCAGTAAAGGGAGGCAGCCTCATGTTAAGGGCAACTCATCTCTCCGTTTCCTTGAAGCTTTGAGTTTGGCAGGACTGCATTGGGTGGTCCGCGGGGCCTCTCGTCCTGGTGCCAGGATCTGATGCCTCTTAGAGAAGTGGCTTGTGGGAAACTGGGTCCAGCTCCCTGCAGGGACTCTGGGCAGGTCACCTCCTGAGGTGAGGAGCTCAGAATGCTGTTCTCTTCAGGGCTGGGACCAGATCGCTCCCAGGTTCTCTGCACCCACGAACTCGTTCCCAGGGAGCTCCGCCTTTCCTGGCGGGTGGGAACTTCCCGTTGAAGTTGGTTCCACATTCCTCTGCAAGCCGGAGGCTCCGGGACATTCCCCTGGGCTGGCCCGCAGCAGAGCTTCCGCCCAGGGCTCGCCTCTGATATGGGCCGGGGCTTCCTGTGTCCCTGCGGAAGCTCCCTTTGTGTCCCTGCGGAAGTGTCTCCAGGTGGCGCCCTGAGAAACCGCAAGTACTTCCTCTCCATCTCCTCTAACTTCAATGTGAGAAGCGGGGGCGAGGAAACCGGGTTGTGTGGCTGCTGCCTGTTTAGCTGTGTCCAGTGGCCAGGGGAAATTGAGGCCAGTGTGGACAGCGGTTCACAGGAATGTGGAGCCAGGCAGCGTGACACAGCACCTGTGAGAAATTCTGCATAGCCAGCTGCAGGTCCTCTGTCCACCCACTCATCCTCGTCATCTTTTCAGCTTGTCTCTTGTGGCTCAGTGATAAAGACTGCCTGCAGTGCAAGAGACTTGCAGGAGACATGGGTTCGATCCCTAGGTTGGGAAGATCCCCTGGAGACGGAAATGGCAACCCACTCCAGTACTCTTGCCTGGGAAATCCCATGGACAAAGGAGCCTGGTGGGCAACAGTCCATGGGGTTGCAAGGAGTTGGACACGACTGAGCAACTAAACAACTGGTTGTGGCATCACAACGATCTGAGACCGTGGGGAGGCCCTGAAGGGCTTTAGGGGTGGGTGGAGCTAGTGTTCCCCGAAACTGGGGCCCAGGAAGGAAGCTGGGGCCAGGGGAGGGATAAGGGGCGGGGCGCTGGGAAGAGGGGAGGGTATGATCCACTCAGAACTAACGTGGCTGCAGATATCAAGGAAGGAGCCCAGGCTGTCTGATGTGCAGCTCTTCTGTGTGGTTGGGGACAGGCTGGGAGGCAGGCACTGGAGGCTAGAAGTCCTGGGTTGGAATCTTGGTTCTACTACTCACCAGCTCTGTGACTCTGGGCAAGCTGTTTCATCTCCTAAACTCCCAACTCCTCATCCACAAGATGGGATGAAGGCATCCTCTGTCAGCAGTACATAGGTCATTATTCACCCCTTCTGTGCACCATGTGACACATGGGTGCTCAGTAAGTGTTCGTTTGCATGACATGCGTGCATGTCAAGGCACTTCAGTCGTGTCCAACTCTTTGCGACCCTATGGATTATAGCCCACCAAGCTTCTCCGTCCATGGGATTCTCCAAGCAAGAATACTTGAGTGGGTTGTCATTTCCTACTGCAAGGGATTTTCCCAACCCAGAGATCAAACCTGTGTCCATTATGTCTGCTGCATTGGTAGGTAGGTTCTTTATCACTAGGGCCACCTGGGATGACAGCATGCTTTAATCACATGGTTTCTGTTACATTCAGCTTCTCACGCTCTCTCCTTCTTGGACCATAAACAATGTTCTAGAAAGTTCGCGGGAGTCAGAATCCCTGGAGGTCTTGCACCATGGCCATTCGCAGAGTCAGGAAGAGGGAACTGGTATCTACTATGCTATCCACCTGTTTTGTGCTGGGCACTGGGCTTCAGGTACTTTGCAGACAAGATGATTATTTCAGCCAGTAAATATTTGGGTACCAGACTCCTGTGGGCCTTGGTGATTCAGGTAGAAACAGGACACCCATGGATTCTGGGAGCTTCCAGGCATGTGGGTTAAATCTGAGCAGATGACCGCACGATACATTTTGTTTCATCTCCTGCCCTCACCACACAGCTGAAGGGTGGGGGTGGTGGAAATGCCAGCCCGTGGCCCCTGGGCTCTGCCCACCCACATAATGCGTCACTGGACTTGTAGACCAGTGCCCGAGGGCACCCAGCCGCAGCCTGGCTCCTGTGCCCACCCAGTCTGATGCTGGATTTATATCTACACATGGTGCAGCTGTGCTCTTCCCACTTCAGGCCACAGAGGCTGGTAATTGGGCCTTCTGGGCCAGCTGCTGGCTGGGGGAGAGGAAAAGCAAAAGCAGCTCTTTTTCACATGGGAACTGTGGTCTGCAGCGCAGGAATTGCCCTGCAATGTCCAGCCAGTGACCCTGAGCCCCAGTCTGGCTGGGGAAAACCCTTAATACATGCTGTTTGTGGTTGATGTACTGCCTGGGACATTCTCCTGCCCCATGGACCACACCCCTTGCCCTCCAACTGAACTCCTCCTGCTCCCATAAGGGTAAGGAAATCATATCTTGTGTCCGCGATGTTGACCCTCATGTCCACCATTATTATAAGTGGCCACATATACTGGGGACTTGCTGTGTGTCGGGCACTGAACAAAAAATAGGGAATTCTTACAGGGCTTTTCTGGGGCTTCTGTGTGCCATGTCCTTTTCTAAGAGCTTTGCATGTATTCCCTCATTTAATCCTCATGACAATACATAAGGTGGGGACGATGATCATCTCCAGTTTACAGAGAAGGAAAGGGAAGACAGAGAGCTTCGGTGACTTGCCCACAGTCACCCAGCTACTAAGTGGAAAACAAGGATTTCCAACCTGGGAGGCCCAGACTAACCACTGTCTCTTTGTCCTGTACATTTTCATGCCATCCTTGCAGCTATCTTGAGAAGGAGGCATTACCATTATCCCCATTTTACAGAGAGGGAAACTGAGGCTCCAAGAGGCTATGGGACTTCCCGAGCCACACAACTGTTATGCGGGGAGCCACCATTTCACCCTGAGCCTCCTGATCGACAAATGCCAGCCCGGGCCGGTCCAGTCAGGAACAGAAATCTAGGCCCCTGGAGGTTCTTGACCCATGTGTGTGCTAGTCACTTGGTCATGCCCGACCCTTTCTGACCCCATGGACTGTAACCTGCCAGGCTCCTCTGTCCATGGAATTTTCCAGTCAAGAATACTGGAGTAGATATTTCCTTCTCCAGGGGATCTTCCTGACCCAGGGGTCGAACCCAGGTCTCCTGCATTGCAGGCAGATTCTTTACCATTTGAGCCGCCGGGAAAGCCCTTGAATGGTAACAGAAGGTAAAGTTTACTGAGCACTTCCTATGGATCGGGCAGGGTGGTTCACACAGACACACTCATTCAGTCCTCAGGACAGCCCTGGAGGGTGGGTACTGTCACTATCCCCATTTCCCAGGTGAAGAAGCTGAGGCTCAGAGAGGTTTATTTGCCCATGATCACACAGGAAGAAGGGACAGCACCCCACACTGGCATTTTCACCCCAGACATTCATAAGGGGCAGTACTGTGGCCAACCAGTGGATTCTTCTGCGTTCTTCTTGTGGAATCCTTAAGAAAA